AAGTCGATCTTGAAATTTTTGTTTGCAGGTTACATCGATCAATCGATCGATTGTGGCCAGTCAGAATGGCGAGTAACGATATAGCATTGAGTCTGTCGGTGTGTAGCATGAGGACGTGTCTCTCGTAGATGAGCACGACGTTCTACTGCGATGTCTCCAGGTACGACGACAGCGAGCGCGATGATTGCGATGACGGAGACGACAACCCGTTCACACCGGCGGCATAGAAGCCCCAGCTCCGTCCGTCTGACAATGACGAAGACGAGAGTTACAATGACTTGGAGCAGGAAGGTCCGCGTGTAGAGGAAACCCTAATCGCCGCAGAGATAGTGGACTGGATGTCAATCGGATGTAGCTGCCCTGGTGACAATCACTTTGCTGCACTTGACAAGGACCATTTGAAAATGTTGCTGAAGCGCAGCTCTCGCCAAAGTCACAGCCCACTCTTTAAAAAGTACGGACTGGATCTATGAACTAGCTGCCTCAGTGACCGCGGGATTCGCGAACCTGGCAACCCGGCAACAAGTATGATACTGCATGCATACGTGTACATAGCCGAATTCGACAATTATAGTGCATTCTACAATATGGAGAATTCATTGTACTTGCAAGGCTAATATTGATTTGAAAGTGTGTCTCATGGAAGTCTACATACTAAAGTACATTTTCCAAAGAAAAAAAATGGAATTTCAAAAATTTCACCCATAAGATCCATTTACTAAGATCATGTCTCATATTGTTTGGAATGAGGTAGTGACACACCTCTAGCTCCTTGGAGTTCATGTCTTCCTCGACGCGACAATGGTCTAAACTAACTGTCAGTACCTTCAACATTCGCGGCCTATCATCAGGCATAAAGAAGCAACAGCTGGCTTCCGATTTGCAGCGCTACGACGTTCAAATTTGTAGCTTGCAAGAGACGAAAATTCAAAATGGATTTGACAATGTTATTGGCGACTACCGAATATTCTGCCTCCTTTCAGACTCCCGACATTATGGCCTGGGGTTCTGCATTCATCGCTCGCTCTGGGAGCGGGTGCATCGCGTTTGGAGCGAGTCGGACCGTGTTGCAGTTCTGCAGATTCGCTCGTCGGAAAAGTGCTTTATCTCCATCGTCAACACTTACGCTCCGACCTCAGCGAAAGTTGCACAAGACCAGGGCTGTTTGGAGGACTTCTACTCATCGCTTGGCACGGCTCTCAGCAAGGTACATTCTTCCTCAGTTATTCTAATTTTGGGAGACTTCAACGCCAAACTTGGTGGAATGAGTTCTCAGTATCGGTGCATAGGACACTACGGACGCGGGCGACGGAATTTTAGCGGAGCTGTCCTGGCCGACTTCTGCGACGCACATCATCTCTTCGCTTGCAACACTGCGTTTCAGCATCCAGCTCGGCACCAAACAACATGGACTTGCTGGAGAAAAGGACCGCAAGATGGTGTGTCTATCCCTATATACAATCAAATAGATTATATATTCTGTCTTCATCGACAACGACAGCTACTTGTAGACAGCCGGTCATATTCTGGTACGCTGGTGGAGTCTGATCACCGACTAGTGGTTGCAAGACTCGATCTCTCTCGCCTACGCCATGTGTGGAGCTCTGTTGAGCACGGTAAGAAACAGCGTGCCAGCCAAAGAATACTGGTTGGTTGCCTCTCGGACCCAACCATGCGAAGGAGGTATTGTGATGAGCTGGAATCCTCTCTCACCGGCAACCGGCTCGACAACACTAATTGCCCATCAACTACCTGGATTGGTATTCGTCAAACGGTGATTACAGCAGCGCCGAACACTCTGGGCGTTGCTGCACCCAGGAAGAGAGGTGGAAAGTGGATCATGGACGCCGACACGCTAAAAATGTCCTGTGAGAAGCGTCGACTGAGACACCGGATCCGTGATGAAAAGAATGCCGATGAAGTTAGCATCCTAAAGCAACAGCGCAACAAACTCTCTCACATGATCCGACAACACGCCTGTGGAAATGCAGCCAGCCATCTAGATGAAAAAGCTCGTGAAATTGAAAATCAAAAAGACGGAGCCCAGATGTTCCGTGCTGTGCATCTGCTGCAGCGTAAAAAGCAGTCGCCGATAGTGGTGAATGATGCCAGCGGGAAACTGGTCCTTCGCCCGATGGAGTCAGCTTCAATAATCAGAAATCACTTCTCAGCAGCCTTCGCTGATTCCACCTGCGCACCTCTACACCAAGAGAAGAAACCTCTGGGGATACCGATAAGCGAGGTAGAAGTCAGGTCGGCAGCACGACGCCTAAATAACGGCAGAGCGATTGAACCCGACGACCTGCCTGCTGAACTTATCAAATATGGCCCAGCACCGCTTCACCGTCACCTTGCCGATCTATAAACACGTGCCATCAACTGTGGTGATCCGCTGTCAGTTGGCCATGGAACTCTCGTCCCACTGCAGAAGCCTGGGAAGCCTAAAGGTCCACCATCTAACCTGAGGCCCATTGTGCTTCTCACTGCACTTCGGAAAGTGCTGTCCATCATTGCCCTAAATCGCATCAGGCATGCAGTCAACACGTTCCTGTCTCCGAACCAGAGTGGCTTCCGCAGTGGTAGGAGTACGGCTGATGTTGTTTGGTCCTACAGATGGATCGCGGCACGGTGCCAGCGAGTGAAGGAATCACTTGGCGTGCTCGGCATAGACATGTCGAAAGCGTTCGACACAATATCCAGGCACCGTTTGCTCACTATATTAGCTAGCTTCCTTGAGAATGATGAGGTCACCATTATCTCCTACCTACTCAGGAACACGTCCCTTGAGGTCCGGTTACCTGGAGGGAAGAGCGAGCAGTTCCAGACCACCCGAGGCACACCACAGGGTGACTCACTATCACCTGTCCTATTCGTTATCTACCTGGAGGCAGCGCTTCGGGAGGTGAGACAGATTATCTGCGCAAGACCCGACCTAGATGTCAGGCTCGGCTTGCCAACTGATACAGAGTACGCCGACGATGTCCACTTCCTATCGTCTGACTGCAAACGTATTCAAGAGCTCCTGCCCGACATTGCAAAGTGCCTCAAAGCCTGGGACCTCAACATCAATGAATCTAAAACAGAACTCACAAACATCACATGGCTGAACGACAGAGTGTGCGAGGAATGGCGCCTCACTAGGAAGCTTGGCTCCCTCATTGGTGACCATGAGGATGCTGCGCGGAGAATGCAACTCGCCACAGCTGCCCTGCGCCGGCTCTGGGCATTATGGATACGTGGTTCCATTGTAAACGAATCGCTGAGAGTACGGCTATACAAGGCATTCGTCTTGCCGGTCCTGTGCTACAACAACGGGACTTGGGGCCTCACTGGCACCGCTATGCATAGAGTTGATGCGTTCCACAGACAACAACTGCGGAAAGTTATTGGCAAACGGTACCCAGCTAAGATCAAGAATAACACCCTGTACAAGAGGACCAACTCAACACCACTTGGTATCTCGATCCTGGGAGCCCGCTGGCGTCTGTTTGGGCACGTGCTGCGGCTGGACCAGAGTGCACCGGCGAACCTGTCAATGTGCTCCTACTTCAAGCCATCCACTGAGCCTACCTGGAGGGGCAGGCCGCGCACAACTCTGCCGGTCGTGCTCAGACACGATCTCGAGCTGGTTGGGAGGACCCTCAAGACCTCGGCAGATCTTGAGGAGCTGAGGAGCATCGCCCAGAATCGCGGGGCGTGGACCTACCTCAGCGGCCGTATCCTGGAGAGATATGTTGCTGCTCACAGATGAACCCTGGTAATGATCAGCAAATTCAAATTCAACTCGGTTGAGCTGCTAGTTTGCTTGTTTTAATTGTATTTTATTTTCGTCAAGCGTTTTATATCGCATATGTTTTATATCGCCATCAATATCCTGTTTGGCTGTTGTCGCTTCGGCTTATGCGAAAGCTATACATGCTGTGTATATCTACATTGCATTGATGCCAACGCGGAGAAGCTTCTAATAAAAAAATAAAAATAAAAAATAAAAAAATGTCTCATATAACAACCCTACTGCTCAATTCAATCTGCTCGTGCACGAGCCATGCTCACCCGTACATCTAGTTTGATCACTGCTAGCCATGAAGCTTCAACATTATACTAATCTCACCGTATAATTATCATCTCTTATTGGCCACAGGCCATCGTGAGAATACATATTTGAAACAACAAGAAGAAGCAAAGGAAGCCTAGATCCTGAATTGCGACTTCGTGCTCTGCATATTTGTTGGGTGTGTATGGACGTGGATTGGACGCGCGATGCCGTTCGAGTGACGGTGTTTCCTGATGTTGAGCTTTCTGCTCGGCCAGTTTCTGTTCTTCAACTTCGTTGCCATCCACTCTCTTCTTCGTACCTTTCTTCATGAATTCAGTCTCAAGCTTGGTGCCTTTTCTTGGCCTCAAACCACAGCTCCAACAATCTACGCTCATCCAGGAATCCATGGCCATCGGAGAAAATCAAAATCAAACTGACCTGTTGGATAGACAGACACTGTCAAAACAAAAGCCAAGGTGAAGGCATACATGTAGCACGGAAACAAGAAAGAACCTTGATATCAGTTCCTAGATGTTAGCCTCATCGGCTCATGTTCAAGTCTACAATGGTGTGTTCCAAGCGCACTCAAAATATTATTTTGAATTTCGGCTTTCAGCCGCTTGTACAAGCTGCGGCTGAAACAAGCAAAAAACGGCCGAGAGTCAGCCATGGCTGAAAGTCGCTTGTAGGAATTCTTTCAGCTATTTCCATGGTAATCGTGATGTAAACAAGCGCTTTTTTCGGCTGAATGGTTGAATTGAGCTTGGTGTGACCGCTGCGTTAGTGGTATATTGATTCAGCTGGTTCTGTTCAGCCATTGTCCCATTGCCGCCCATTTAAGATAAACTTTATTAGGCAATAATTCACTCAAACAAACACCAAACACACAGCCCATATCTCTGAAAGCACTCATCATTAGCTTTATCAGTATGTGTGGTATTGCTGTTTTGTGATGTCTGTTTAGGGGATTATCTCGTCTTCATGTAGAGAATGTGGCTCCGGGGTCATTTAACAAAAACGTGGAAAGAATGTGAGGCAACTTATGATATAGAATCTTTACTTGTGTTAATAAAATATTGTGTTTACACTTCCCTGAGCAGGTGACTAGTTGTTGTTATCTGGCTTGCAATTGTTGAGTTTCCGAAATACTTATGAATAATATGTTCAATAAAGCAACGAGAGAGCTTGGAAGCTCAGGGCCCTACGCTATGCTTTTTTGCCTAGTTCATCATGCATGTTATTAGAACTAATAGATGTTTCTCTTCGGCCCAAACTTCGTTGCGGTCTTATAGTGTTTTACGTCGACCATGACGGCTACAATGCCCAATCATACCACAACGAACTGATCGACTACATCATTGTATTGCAAAAAGTTTCCATCCGTTTGAATAACATGTCTGATGAGCTAGGCAACAAAGCATAGCGTAGGGCCCTTACCCCGGCGAAAGAAACAAGCAGCTGCTCCGATAGCACGGCGCAATCAAATAATTCTGAATTCAGGTTCTTGTTCAACCTGCGCAAAGCCCAAATTCGAATGCTGATTGACCATGCATTCTTTCAGAAGTCTGCAGTCCGACGTGTGTCTCGTGGCCAAAGAAAAATGTCCTAAGCGTTTTCGTATCCATCAAAATCCATCTCGAAATTTTTGTTAACGGAGGGAGCTTTTGTGGACCCTGGCTAGCGCCAGAAGTTACTGCACTATCGCCCTGCATGCATTCCCCCGAAACACTACGCATACATATATGCCAGGCCTCTACAGTCTCTCATTTCCTGGTGCTGACCGCTTCATTGCTATCAAGAGTACATAACTAGGTTATGGATCAACGGTACTTTACGGTATTGCTGAAACGATTACGTTTTTCTCCTTAGTGGCTTAGCTGATACCATACCGATCGGCTTATCGGCTATTATTGTAACTACATCTGTACATGTACATTCTGTGAAAAAAATTCTCGAGTCCAACATCACCAACGACGGAGAGCGGGCGCATAGATCCGATGATCCCTCAACAAGTCCGTCAGCTGTTCGGACTGACGAGACGAATACAGACAAGACAGAGGCGACGCACTGGTTGCAACCCAAGAGCTGATGGTGCCCTTCGTCTCTGACTTCGCTGACTCCGACGATGAAGTCAGAGAAGCCGGCCAGGGGTGCAGATCGGCGGATTTCGACGTATGAGCTGACTTGAGGCGCGCCAACAAGTAACTAGTTGCTTTTCCTGTCTATGCTCAAAATAGGCCCAGACGCCAGGCCTAGCTCGTCGTCGAGCAAACTGGTTCGGGAACCGTCGACAGAACGGAAAACACGAACTGAAGCCCACTTTACTGTCTTTGGCTCACAGTAAAGTGGGCTTCAGTTCGTGCAGAAGCCTCAAATGCTTACCGGCGAAAAAGCAATCAGCATTTCCATCAGCAGTGTCGTGATCACTCCTCCAACCTGCGGATGATGTGGTCCATGATCAACTCTGTCACTAGCCGTTCTCGTCAACATCATCAGCCAACGTGCGACATCACAGAAGTCTCGGATGCCTTCCACAGCATTGTACATGATCCGTCCCGTCCGGCTCAGCTCCAGATTCCCATTGGTCCACAGCCGCAAGGTTCAATGCTGATGTTCCAGTCAACCACCCCAGATGAGGTCAAGCACCTCCTGGAACGGATAAATCCCTGCAAAGCCACAGGCAGTGATGGGATTCCTGGGTGTCTGCTACGTGCTTGCGCTGACCTGTTCACTCCATCGCTTTCAGTGCTCTTCAGCTCATCGCTGAGGCATGGTGAAGTCCCTCTGGCTTTCAAACATGCTGTAATAAGCCCTCTCTTCAAAGCTGGCGATCCTTCGGTGGCTGCAAATTATCGTCCTGTGTCGCTCCTGCCGATCGTATCCAAACTACTCGAGAAGATAGTCCAGAAGCAACTTGTTGCACATCTGGAGCGATCATGTGCCATACCACCGACTCAGTTTGCCTTCCGCCGTGAGCACTCCACAGAGGACGCCCTAGTTGTAGTAACAGATGTCATCTTAAAGGCCCGGGACGACAAGTTGACCACAGGCGTCTGCCTAATCGATATGTCAAAAGCCTTTGACAAGGTCAGTCACAGCCAACTGGTCCGGGACCTATTCGATCTCGGCCTGGACAATGCCTCCTTTCGCTGGTTCTACAGCTACTTAAGCGATCGAACCCAGCAAGTGCGCATTGGCCCCACCTACAGTGTTGCTGCTAAGTGCTCATCTGGTGTACCTCACGGCTCGGTCCTAGGACCGATCCTGTTTAGCATGTACACCCATGATGTCCCTGCCATAGCCCATCCTGCTCCATCTCTGCAATTTGCCGATGACATTGCCGTGCACTGCCACAGAAATCAGTGCTAGCCACATCAGCCTGCCTATCAGGGGCCGTCACCAACGTCGCTGACTGGCTCAAGCATCGACATCTGCTTCTAAATGACAAGAAGAGTCCTGTCAATTGTATCACAACGCAATGCAGGTCAGCATGTCACGGTTCGCTGCAACCAGACAGAGCTTCCCCTGAGCCCAACCGCAAGGTACCTCGGCGTGACCCTTGACGCCGCTGTGAAGTGGGACCCCCATGTTGACGCGATGGCGAAGAAAGTTGTGCAGAAGATTGGAGCACTGTGGTGGTCCCGCAGATGTCTGAGCCTCAGTAGTCGCATCCAGTATGTGAGGTCAGTCATCATGTCTGACCTCCTATATGGGTCTAACGCCTTCTCTTCCTCCCTCAAGGTTTCGCAGCTTGATCGCCTTCAGGTCCTGCAGAACCGAGCGGCAAGAGGGGTATACGGTTTGCCGCCTCACACCTCGGCTCAGCCTCTGCTCGAACGGATGTCCCTGTACAGAGTTCGCGAGTGCTACGCCCAGAAGCGGCTCATCCTGGTGTGGCGCTGTGTCAATGGGAAAGCCAGCAGTGTCCTCCAGGACCTATTCTCACCATCAGCTGGCAGCATCACCCGGCACCAGGTTTCCAGGGGCCTCACTGTCCCCTCGGCACAGTCAGAAGCCGGCAGATCTCACCTGGCCTTTCAGGCAGCCTTGGCCTGGAACGCTCTCCCAAGGAGTATAAGGGAGATCAAGGCTGCCCAGCAATTTAAGCTTGCCTCCATCCCCTACACCTTGCAATGAATGCTTTGTCTGACTTTTCCCGTCCATACACCACGTCATTTACTCTTCTCTCCGTGCTTGTGCGCTTATGAACTCTTTGTGTTCTCCTTGTTGACGCTTTAAAATCGCTCTATTGACACCGCAATATCGCTCTGTTGACGCTGCAAAATTGCTTATCATCTCCCTCCCTCCCTCCCCCCCCCCCTCTCTCCCCCCCCCTCTCTCTCTCTCTCCCCCGTAGCTCTCTCCCTTTTGAAATTCCCTTCCATAGAATTGGGCACCATTGCCCGTTTGGCCTTGCGAAGTAAAATAAAAATCAACAACAACTCCAGCTGACCAATGGTCTCGGGATTAAGGCGCACATCACGCACCATGGGGGAAAGGGAGAGAAGAAAGACTGTGTGTGAAGAGTGAGAACCTGAGAGCGAGACAATGATGGAGAGAGAGAGAGAGAGAGAGAGAGAGAGAGAGAGAGAGAGAGGAAAAAATGGGGGGGGGGGGGAGTGAGGGAGGGTGAGTGAGTGAGTGCCAGATTAGTTCAGGAAACTATGGCAATGGACCAACAGCAGCATTGCTTTCAGTGGGGGGGGGGGGGGTGGGGCAATACGGAGAAGTTAGATTGGAGCTGCTGCCAGGCAGAGTAGTGTGCAGGCACTGGATCAGCGAGAAAGGGGCCATGAAAAGCAGCAAAAAGGAAAGAAGAGAAGAAAGAAGCCAGCAAGTACAAAAAGCGAAGTTTGCACCTTTGCAATGTATGAATATAGTGTATGTGAGAAAGGTAGTGGCAGATGAATTAGATATATTCACACATTGCAAAGGTGCAACCTTCGCTTTTTGTACTTGCTGGCTGTTGTATTTCTATCTGAAACCATATTAGCTAAATGTACATAAGTGTGTGTTTTAGTTATTACATTTTCATGTGACGGCGTTCTACTGATGACAGTCACAAGAAAACGTTATGGAACTTAACTTTCTTCATTTTTTGCTGTTGTTATGAGTGCACAATTTATCTTATTTATTGCCGTCTTTTGTTATGTCGCGTGGCAGGCACAGTGGGTTGGTCAATGACCATGATTGAGAAAGGGGAGGTACCTGGTTCAAGTCCTGCCTGGGAGAGGTTTTTCCAGCCGTGCCGCTACGCACAGTCAACTGGGAACTTGTGGCCAGTCACAAGGGGTACATGGATGCAGCTAATGGGGTCGTTTTCGGCACTTGTGCCAGTGGTTGTGAGACTTACCCACTCACCCCACCGTTAGGCGCTGCATCTGCCGCTAGGGTTTATCGGATGTTAGCGGCCGTCGGGAGTTCCCTTCGGGAACGGATACGATAATTTACTTTTTTTACTTTTTTTGTGATGATTTCTTGTTTTTTCACTCGGCTTTATTATCATTTCACTTATTATTTGAACTCGGATGGTGAGACAATATATTATAGTTATGATGGAGAAAGGAAAAGGACAAAATGTTACGAGGTATGACAAACTGTCCACCAACGTAACCAGATCTTATACAGTCAGCAAGTGCGACAAAATGGCACAAAACTGACAAGGAGTACTGAGACATTCAGCGACCTGACACCTAGCTCCAACACTTCTCCAAGGCGCAAACGAACAACCTTGCAACTTGGAAGGCTCAGGTTCGGAAAGGGCTAAGAGGGGAAGGAAAGCGCAATGAAGAAGAGCATGAGCTGCGCATCACAGCAACAAAGAATGCCGAGAGTTACTGGATGATGACGAAACTAGTAAGACTATTGGACAGACCGGCCTTACTACAACTCGACGACGCAAAGCAACAGACCACCCAACTTGGGAGGCTCAAGTTGATGTAATAGACATAGAAGGAGAAGCTAAGCGAAGACGAATTGTGACAAACCAAAACGTCAACATCCTACTGAACTCCACTATCATGTATGATGGACTAGCTTTGTACAATAACAAGTAGTTCCACACGACGTACGTCAGATGTGCAAATTTGAACTCGGATGGTGAGGCAATATAGTTATGATGAAGAAAGGGAAAGGACAAAATGTCAGGTCGCCGAATGTCTCAGTACTCCTTGTCAGTTTTGTGCCATTTTGTCGCACTTGCTTCATCACTTATTATTTGGTGCAAATTTAGCGCTACATGGTTTATAATTGCGACAGGCTAAAGGGACAAGCCCAACTTTTTTTGCGGATTTTCTGTTCTTTCCGGTAAAAATGTGGCCAGCTGTCTTTGATGGTACAGTACGGGACAGGTACGGGATAACACCAGACGTGACGATGCTGTCCTTGAATGTACGGTAAGGGACAGTACGGGATAGCGCCAGGCATGTCGATGTTGTCCTTGAAGGTACGATACGGGACAGGTACAGGACAGGTACGGGATAGCGCCAGGCATGCCCAATGGCACAAACAAACAAACAAAAACAAACAAAAAATACACCAAATTAATGCTGTGTGGACACTGGCTAGTGCCAGACGTTACTGAAGTCTTCGGCATAGCTACGGGAATAAAAAAAACTAACTCTGCCGTTACAATCATGCATCAATGAAGTCAAATGTTTTCCATAATCGCTATCGCTTTGGAAGTGCCTTCCTCTTAGTGGCTTCACTATAATTTGTCGTCGTCCGACTTGTAGTTTATCTGCCAAGCACTTCAGACGTCCAGGTAGGCGTTTTCAGCCACCATGAAGGCGTTTGCGCTCTGGGTAGCGTCTGCAAATCACGCGCTCAAAAGAGAGTGAAACAAATAATTTCTTGGCGGAACAATCCTGTCACAAATTCTTGATGGAGCACGAGCGACTAGAATACTTGGCAGCTGGATCTCCAGAGATACTCCGCTGCCTGTGATAGTCCCCCGCAAGAAGAATCAGGTGAAAGTGAAGAGGTTTTGCTCAGATGACAAGCCATCAGCGGAGGCAGCGCAGAGTTTGAGAGCTCCGTGACACGAAATGGCAACGCGGACAGCAGCGCTGAGAGTGCCGAACGAGATTCAGTACTATTTTATTGTTTTTTTACTATGTTCACATGATCAGCTCGAACAGAATAAGGAAAGACAATGGTACTCCATGGCGACTATTCTCAGCTGGATAAGTTGGTGAGATACGTCTTGATACGTCTTGGTGAGATACGTCTTGTCGCTGTTCTCACACTTTACCATTTTAGCAGCTTGCATATGCCATTGATATATGTGGAAAGCGCGCACATTTCTGGTGTATAAGAATGATCATTCCTCCATTATCATCATTATCATCCTCTACTGATGAGCTTCGACAGGGAGCGAAACAGCTGTCTAGAGGCGTGGAGCAATATTATCTCTCAACGGAAGTGTCCTTGCTGGTGTCTGTATGGTTCGGCTGAAGAGCGCGTGGTTGTGATGAGTTGGGAATGCAATGAATAGCGTTCTATTCAGTCACGATATTCCACTGATGATAGTGACATGAATATTGATTATGGAAAACAAACATTTGACTCCGTTGATGCATGATGGTGACGGCAGAGTTAGTTGTTTTTATTGCTTTATTAAAATTATTGTCTCCACGGCGTTTGAACAATATGTTATTGTTGATTTTTTTCTATTATCTCTCACGTGTTCTTTACTATTTTAACCACCAGAAATGAATGGTTACCACACAGCGTGTTCTCTCGCTTGCGCTCTTGAAGTTGTTATATCCGAAACCCTTGATGATTGATGTAGAATTTTACCGCATGTCTAGAAAATTTGTCAATACACCATGCTTCAAGGCGTAACACTTGTTTAGCTGGAAAATTTCAATCATTGGCTATGTGTGCTTTGTGACTTGTTTCTTGGTTTTTGCTTCTCAAAGTCTCTTGTCGGAGAATAATATAACCAGCGTGCAACGTGGTATCTTTAGTGGAATGTTGGAAGAACTGTAAGTAGTTAAATTGAGAAGACTGGTTTGTGGAAATGTAATTGTATAAGGCCAACTGGGTCTCTGGCTCTTCAGGGAGGCTGGGTGATAAATTGGGACTTTTGAAGCTGAATTGGGAAGTGTTGGTTAGAAATGGATTATCTTTGTAAGTGGACTCGGATGGAGAGCCAATGTTTAATTTATACAAAAGAGAAAGACCAATGAACTACAAGTTACGCTATACTGTCCACTAACGCCGCCAGTTACTAAACAATCAGCTCGTGCTATATTATTGCACGACACTGACCAATGGTACTGACATTCTACATTTAACTGGCTAACAGCTCTAGCACATCTTGTATGCACACTCCAACAGCCGTCCAACTGGCAAGGTTCTACTTCCTCCGCTTCATTAAAACTGTCGCTTTGCACATCGCAATGTTTGTGACTTGCTCGTTGTATGTAGTATCTATAATTTAATAATATAAAAATCTGGAAAACATATTACGCCTTCCACACAAAAGGTGCAGTAATGCCACAAGGAATGCATGGAATGATTTATTTACGTGAAAAATGCAATCTCAACACTTGCGTAAATTGACTAACTTTCTGGGCTATAATTCAAAAAGAGGACCAAAAGTTTACAAGTTATCCGTTTTGTCCAACACAAACGGTTATAAGCAGAATACTGTTGAGTGAAAAATGTGCAATTATCAGCACAAAGACTGACTGATGAGATCAAAGATCCTGACATTCAATGGCATCAGGATCTCATCAATCAGTTTTTGTGCTGATAATTGCACATTTTTCACTCAACAGTATTCTGCTTATAACCGTTTGTGTTGGACAAAACGGATAACTTGTAAACTTATGGTCCCCTTTATAATTTTAATCCTCGACTCTCCATCCGAGTTTTTCTGGGCTATTTTTAATTTTTGGAGGTCAAAAATGCCCTTGGCACCTGTAAAATTACATTTTTCAGTTTCTATACAGTGTGAGGATCCAATATAAACTGGAATAGGCGCCCCTGTGAGTGAATTCTGATCCTGTACAACAATATACTTTGCTTTATCGCCTTGTTAGTATTTGACCCCACTAATTTCCCTGATACCTAAGCGGTCAAATATATCGCGTATTTGATTGCTTAGGCTGCATTCGATTGTAGAAACTTGATCCTGATCCCCGCCGACCAGATCACTTCGATCGGACGGATACAATCGAATGTGCACAACCGATAATTCGTTTCAAGGCCTGAGCAACCGCATTGCTACAGCTCATCCCGTGGTATCTCCACGCATTTTGGTAAACTCTTGATCTAGTGTACGCATATTGGGAGTTTTGAGTAGATACGAGTCGTACCGTGGAAATGAATCCGTCCAATCCGTCTCTGGGAGGTGGGTTGACTGGATCCGAATCCGTGCTCTCGGGATCCGGATTCGTACAATCGAACATGTACGAATTTGGCGAATCCGGGTCTGGGGCTGATTTTTTTGACGGCCTCTTTTACGGGCAAAATAAAGTCATGTACACGTGAAAAAATTGAGATACCATGAAAGGTAAAGTAGAATTTTATTCAAGTACAATACATTGGGAAACTCCAATACATTCCACGTAAAACAGACGAAATTCAGTTTTCAATGGCCGATGCCTACCCCATCACCATCCTGCGTCGACAGGCCTGTCAGGAGCTTTCTAGACCCGCGTAGCCGGAGGTTGACTGCATGGATCACTGCAAATTGGCTGCGAACTCGCACCCAAGCCATGATGATTGAAAATGGCTTGTCCCACTTGAGGGTGAGGCGACCAGCAAGTCGCTTCTGATAGCTGGCGTATTCGCGATGTAGCACCCCATCCGCGGAACAAACCAGTGGTGTGAACGACCCACGGAGGTCCTTGGAGGCCTGACGGTACTTCTTTTTCTTCGCGTTAGCAGCGCGGTTGGAAGTAGCTTCCCAGGATGAATGGGAGTAACTTGGTGCGTTGGCGTCAATGATGCGATTATCAAAAAACACCACCCTGTTATTTCGTGACTGAGCAGGAAGAATACTGGTGAGTTGCGATGGATGATGTGTTGCAGATCTGGTTGTCTCACGAGTAGACATGCGGCATTGCGGTGCGGCTGCTGATGGTGGCAGAATGGCTTTCACCATTTCCGGACCCTCCACAAAGTGCAGCTTGTACAGAAAGCAGAGCTCTGCTACAGTACGGCGAATGTCGAGGCTCGGGAGGTATGATCCATCTCCAATTATGTGCAGGGCACGGCGCTGGATGGCAGTGAGGCGGGCCAAGGTGGTGGGGGCTGCGCTCATCCACACCAGCATGCCATACTCTAACACAGGGCGGACAAAGCCACGGTACACGATTGCCCGGTGCTTTGGGTCTAGCACAGCCCATGCCTTCCAGAGGAAGCCGAGCCGCTGGGCTCCGCGTACTGCAAGCTGTCGGATATGGCTGCGGAATGCAAGCTGCCTGTCAAAGGTGACGCCAAGAAGTTTGAGCTCCTCTACTTCTGGCACGACTGCTCCTTGGAAGCGTATTGCGTTCGGGGGGGGGGGGGAGGTTGGCGAGCGGTGGTGGCTGATGGTCAATGCCTGCGACTTTGTGGGCTCGAACTTATCCTCCACCTGCTCCCCCATGCTGCCAGTGAGTCTACTGCCTGCTGGAAGATTGCTGTCTCTTCTGGCAGTCTGAGTCGGGCGGTGATGCACTTGTAGGGAGTTGTGTCGCCGGCGTATACAGCCAGCTTTGCCCCATCAGGCAGGTGGTCTTCTGCGTCGTTGACGTACAGAAGGAAGAGGATGGGGCCGAGGATGCCGCCCTGCGGCACGCCAGATTGGATTCGGTGGGTCGGTGAAGACTGGCCACCTATGACAACACGGATGTGGCGGTCTGTCACGTAACTCCGGAGCCAGGCAAGGAGGGGGCACTTATGCCGCACCGCTCAGCCTTGTGGAGGACGCCGTTGTGCGAGACCTTGTTGAAGGCCCCGGAAATATCTACTGCGAGTACCCTGACGAGGCCTCCACTGGCAGCTGCAAGGTTCCACTCATGCTGAAGAGCAATCAGCAGAACAGAGGTTCCCCGTCCAGTGCGAAAGCCAAACTGCCTGTGAGAAAGGATGTCATTCTTCTTCATGAAGTTGGACAGGCTGCGGTTCATGATGGACTCCATACACTAAGACATTATGGGCAGTAGTGATATCGGTCGGTAGTTTCTGGGGTTCGACTTGGGGCCTTTCTTGTGTACCGGTACGACGTTGGCAACTTTCCACATGGCAGGTTGATGACCACTGCAGAAGCACAGGGTAAACAGCTTGGATAGGGGCAGGGCCAGAGAGTCGGCACATTTTCTCAGCACTCTAGCGGGTACTGCATCAGGCCCTGTGGCTTTACTTGGATTCAGGGCTTGGAGTGTCCGGCGTACGGTGGCTTGGCGGAAGTGGACTGTTGCAAGCGTATTTGCGGCGCGCTGGCGGACATGCGGGAACGGCCCCGACTGTTCTGCAAAGTCATCGTCTAAGCTGCACTTCTGGGCAAAGTACTTCCCGATGACGTTAGCCTTGTCATGGCTTTTGGTGCATTCCATGCCATCGGGGTCAACCAGGACTGGGATGGAGCCGTCCAGGCAATGCCCTCCAACTCGTTTAATCACGCTCCACCACTCTCCGCCCTGCAGGCTGCCCATCCGGAGCCGTTGCTTGACATGGTCGAGATGTCTGGCTTTAGCTCTTGCTAGACATCTCGTTGAGTCAAGGCATGCTAGCTTGTATGTACACTGGAGCGCTCCATTTCTGGGGTCATCGCGAAATTTCCGCCAGGCATTGCGCTTTGCCCCCCACCTGTTAAAGCCTAGTTCACATTCGACGGGGCGCGACGGGACGCGACGTACGGATCGACGGGAAGCGACGGGACGGTCTGACCGCATCCAATGTGAACACCAGGAACGGGAATGCAACCGTACTACCGTACAGATCGGGAAGCGACGGGAAGAGTTGGATCGATCCAACTTTTCATACCGTAGACGGGCATAGACGGGGACGCAAGCGTACAAAACGGCTGCTATTTGAGTGTGAACAGGAGACGGCGTCGTGCGCCGACTGCTCCCGATTCGTACTTGGAAATTTTTAGCATTTCGAACACTGCGCTTCCCATGATAACTTACAGAATGGCTAGCACGAGTTGAGTTGAATTTTAGCAACATAAGATCTCGTGTCACTTATTGTATTTAGGGATAGTTCAGAAGCGTGGCAGACGAACTATTCTATCATTTCCTGGGGCTATTATTAGGCACTTCAGTCACGTGACAGGACCTGTCAAAATTTGCTAAGGTGAGAGTGCGTACTTGCGTGGCACCAGTCAAGTGCATGCGCAAAACTGCACAGGTACGCGCTATGCTTCGTTGTGCGGGCTGATAGTTGGGCGCATGGTGTTGCTCTGACGTTCAGCTTTCAGTAGATCCCGCACACGTCATAGTGCGTACATTTTTGCGAGTTGTAGATCACGTACACTTCCAGCAAAGTGTTTTTTCACAAAGAACTGTTGTTTGCTCGCGTTTGAAACGTTGCTTATCGTCTTCAGCGTCGTCTTTCCATTCGGAAACAGTAGAGTTCTTGTTTACCAGGGTTTGCGCATCGCTGCGCAAGGAGACATTATGGACGTAGGCACTGAGAAGTATGCGCTTTAGGCGGAGGAGAACGACGATGCGTCGTCCTACCTGGGCGAATTCTCAAAGCGTACTGAGAGCCAAATTTTGACACGGTTGCGCTGGAAGGCCTACTGATGTTTACAAACAATCAAAAGGCACAGTGGCTGCCGGAGAAACCCTCCGATGAGGGGATGCTTTGATATACGCAGCCAGGCACGCTTCACGAAATTTCAAAGCTCACCAGCAGGCAATTCATGACTGCTGCATGGAGCAGTTGAAGGAGAGGGAGGCAGATATCACACCATGGAAAGAAGCTACCAACAGAGGTCCTGAGGAACTTCTTGCCAACTTGGAATCACTTGAAATGGCATGACTGT